GCAAAGTAGTTTAAGTAAAAAATCTGATGTGTACACCACATGACTTCCTTGTACGGAATATTAAATTATACGCATTTTTTCTTGCATTTCATTTAAACTTATTGGATTGAATTAAATCTACTTCGCCAACAGCGCATAAACCACAATAGAATAAATGCATTCTTTAAAATTCACTCTAGTATTTGTTTACCATAGCGACACTCTGGTGCTAGATTCACTTAACAGTATTATATTTCGTTCATATTATAACTCATAATGCACAGAATTATATCATTTAAAGAATAGAATTATCTAATCGTTGCCACATGTTCTATTCAAATACTATAATAAAGCTAGAACTATGTATAAAAGAAATTAAGCAAACAAAGCAAAAAAGAAACAGTTTTTCACAGACGATTGAGTATTTCTCATTTAATTAATTCAGTTCTCACTTCGCGAGAAGGCAAAAATACATAAAAACTCAAAATATCTATATTAAAAATTACGAAGTAAATTTCAAACGCTTATTTCCTTGAAAAAATTCCAGAAAGAATTAAGCATGATTTAATTGGCAATAATAAATGAAGGTGTTATCTTTGTTGTTGCGAAGCTAAGTTTCTCTAGATTGGCAACAAACCCACTAGTCTGCTGTTTCAAATGTAAACAATCAATGGCCGCCATCATAAAAAAAGGCTTAGCGACACTTAAACAACTTTAAAGTTGTTGCTAATTCTAAAAATATTGCATACAGATTTACTAAAGGCATAAAATCCTTAACCGGAAGATAAAAACAACATAATTCAATCATTTTTAAAGCAAAAAATGAACAATTTACAAACATATACGAGTAAAGAAACTGAGATCACTTAGCCGGCTAACAGAGTGGATATATATATAAATATATTTATATACGTTTGGTGCTGCCGATTGCAACCAAAATACGAGGTGCACATCTACATGTTATAGCAGTCCTACATACAAAATTTCAACGTTCTGAGGCTACTCGTTATGCGAGATACGTTCGTACAGACGCCACGAAAAATTCTCTTCAGAATTAATTTTAAAGCAGTTTTGTAATTTTTTTGGAGGAAATGAGTCTTTTATTCTGTCCTTACGTACAGATATCACAAAAAAAAAAAAAAAAACATTGTTAAATTGCATTCGATAGCGGTCAAAATGGATATTTTCGTTGAAATATGCTACCTGAAACTTTTCGCGATTACAATACTTCCTTTTTACTTCGTACAAGGAAGTAAAAAGAGGAACATTTCTGAAATCAGAAGACAGAAATTTGCTTCACGCAGTCATCCTTTAATAGTAAAAGCTTAACTAACCCGCATACTTGGAAATTGGCGAATATTCGGACAGTCGAGTGTAACTTGAAAAAGAAGGGGGGGGGGTAGACTGTAGCCGCTCTTTAGATTTTCCCGCTAAATAAATGCTTTTGACATTTCGATATGTGCATCATATAAAAGTAAACCAATGGAACTGTAAAATATTCTGCTTAGCAAGCACAGTAAAACTCTTTTAAATGTTCATAAACAAATAACGGACAGAACATCAAAATTAATTACTGCAAATATTGCAAACGTTATTGCGCAATACGTGCGCCGTAATTCTTTCCTACATGATATTACGCAATCGGAATCAACAGCTGCCGGTATCGAGAGAATAAAGAACTAAATAACTGGGGTGTTTTTCATTCTAATTCTCAGCAGACGGCGTTAAATTTCCGGAATAGAATCATTCTTTGGTTGGGTTGGTAGACAGCAGAACTTTTCGTCCTATTCAATCCAGATTGGAAAGTGACAACAACAACAATTAAAAAAAAAAAAAAAAAAAGTCCATTGCTTGTTTTGCAGGGAACTGTAACAGTTTCAATAGTCGAGATTTTGCGGAGAAATGGGAGAACCTCTCAATCTTCGTACTGTATAATGCATTGGCCAAAAAATTAAATTATTTTGACTATTCGATTACTTTCCCTTTATTTAAGCCATTCCAAATATTATTCCTTAGAAAGCTAATCTGTGTTACAACAGAACCATTTTTGGAAGTTTATTATACTTCAGCAGTTATTGCAACTATGTTATTATAAACATTCGTACATATACTCATAATATAAGCATAATTATCATAATAAACACGAATATGAACTGACCAAGCGGAACGAGAATGCAAATTATTAAGATCTTGACAGAAATTCAAACGTGTGTAGTATTTGGGTGGAAGGAAAAGAATGCCGAATGTAGTGGAATTTTCTACTGCTTTCGCAATTCTTTGACCAATAGAACGATGAGCACCTGTCTGTACTCTTCGTGCACACCAAAGGTTATGTTAATGTAAAGAAAGGGGGAAAAGCTATTTCCGGGAGTATGATTCACCATCTGGCATTCCATATTAGGAAGAAAAGTTGTTTATTTAGTTTCGGCTTTGGTACGGGGAAAAATATTGCGTTCATTAAAAAAAAAAGCACTAAAAGCAAAAAATAAGCACTAAAAACAAAAAAATAAGAGCTTTAAAGAAAAAGTAAGCACCTATAAGGGCCTTTATATTTTATTTTCAAATATAAGGACTTATAAGCACTTATAAGGACCGCTACGAACCCTGGTTTCTCTAACCATTCCGACGGCGAGGCGCACAATGAACTGGAAGTTGATCTGTCAGCACTATCCTCATCTTCAGGGCAGATGTTTTTAATTTTATTCGGCTTATAATTCCTTACTAAATGTAGAGTTTCATCTTGATGTACTCCGATATGATTTAAATCAGGTTCCTTGTCATTATAAATATCACGAACACACATCAAATAGTTTTCTGGTTGCAATTTTCTAATTTCAACTATGCACAATGTATGCTTTACGCATGCACGCGTTGAAAGAAATGTTTAATAAAGTAAACAAATAAATATTAAGTTTTTTTTTTTTTGTAAATTTTGATACCCTTTAGATCATAAATCACGATTTCATATTTTTAACTATATAATTTCTGCATGCTATCTTACCAGATTTAAATTGATGATCTATAATCTGGAATCGCTGAAGTCTCGACAAGTCCGGATTAAAGACTTTGTACTGTATTATATTCTGCAATCAGATACAAATTATTTTAACGATACGCCTGATAATTCTGTATTCCATAATTATAAATCGGTAGAAATAAAAGGGTGGATCATATGAAAATGAAACAGAAGTCACAAAATGAAAAGGTATCACTTATTTTCAAAGATAATCATCAAAATTACACAAGCACTTGTCCCACTGTTACACGAAGTGGTGAATACCTTGTTCACAGAAAGAGTTTGGCTGAGATTGAAACCAGTTTTCAACAATGTCCATGACTTTGATTTGGATTATGTCCATAACTTCACTGTATGAACGTGGATCAAATGAAAATGGAACAGTGGCCATTATTTGATATTTTTGCATGACTGTCACAAAAACTGTGTGTAAAGGAAGTGCAAGAGGTAAGAAAGACAAATCCTATTGCGGAATACACTTGCCTAGGTAATCATATAAAACCACGATATGCACTGGCAGTCACATAACAGTTTTGTGCCGCAGACAATCATTAGTCATTTCATCTGTGTTGCATAATACTTGTAACTAAAGAAGAGCAACATGGTACTCATTTTTAGCAGCAGAAAGTGTCATTCGTGAATCACATTGGAAAATGAAAACAAAATATGGAGAACATTCACTGTTATTGACTCATGTGCAAGACTGGCATAAGTGTTTCCACGAGAGACAGGAATCTTTAAAAGATGATCTGTGACCTGGTTAAAGTAATCTCGTCATCATGGACACTCTGGTGAATGAAGCTGACCAGATCATTCGTGCAAATATATGACACACAATAAAGGATATCAGTGAGGAGGTTGGTGTGAGTTTTGCTTCTGTTCATGCATTACAGGAAACTGAATGCACAGTGGGTCCCACACAATCTCACAATCAGAGTTGGCTTCGCATGGGATTGTCCTTGCCTCATCTCCAATACCGAGCTGAGGACAATTTCTTGGACAAAGTTGTGGCAGGTGATGATGTGTTCGTAGTAATGGCTGGCACCATTACTACGAACCAGAAAACAAATGACAAAGGCAACACTAGAAACATCCCAGCTCCCCACCACCAAAGAAGTCAGAATGATGCAGAGAAAAGGTAAAATCATGCTGACCTTTTTTTTTCGGTATGAAAGGCCCGCTTCGCATTAAATTCCCAGTCCCAGGTGAGACAATCAATGCTGCTCAGTACTGAAATACCTTCGAACATTTGTGTACAGCAATGAAAGCCAAGAGGCCAAGTATTTGTCTTCTGGAGTGCTTTTGCTCCGCAACAATGTGTAGCCACACATGACCACTCGGAACCGGTTTTGGTGCAGAGAGTTGCACCATTACAGTGAGAGGAGAGGCACACCATTATAGCCCCGAACATTCACTAAGTGAATGTCTTTGGTCTACTAAAAAAGGTACTCTGAGCTCAACATTTGCAATTGGACAGTGACGACATGAACACAGTTTGAAACTGGTTTCAATCTCAGCCAAACTTTATCTACGAATGACTGCATGGTGAAACAGTGGGACATATGCTTAAGTTTGGTGATTACATTTGAAAATACCTTTTGATTGGATCCTCCCTTATAAATATGCTGTTAAATATTTATCAAAAAGAAATCTTTCTCAACAATGTTTTCAATTCATATTTCATTTTTATTTCAGTATAAAATGGTAATATTAAAATTACATCACAAACTGAGCAGTTATAGTAGAATACTGAACCACTTGATATAAAATTCCAAACTTATGATAGTGATTAAATACATTCACATAAAAATAACCCCAAAAGATCCTACTGAGAATTTCTTATAGCCAAATTATTAAACAGAATAAAAATTTAAAAAAAAAAAAAAAAAAAGAAAAGAAAGAAAAGAAAAGAAATACATACTAGTATCAGAGGATAGAACTCCTTCTCCTTCTACAAGAATATACAATTGTATGACAAGCTGAGGTAAGCACTGTAGAATTGCTTCAACCATGAAGAGATAAGGAAGATAAGGCAACTCCACATATCGGCCACTATGATGGTCAAAATCTTTACGCTTTTCATTTGGGCAAAATATCACCCACAAATATTCCAACTCATAGGAGAAAAATGTAGCTCAAGTACCTAAAAACAAATGTGCAAGATATAAAAACACAGAACAAAAATACAGCAAAATAAAATTTGTAATTAAGAATAAAAATTGGAAAGAATTAAGCACAGAAGATGCATATTACAAAAGAGAAATAGTCTTGAAAATCAGTTAATAAAGAAACTAATTAAAGATTATCAATATAAAAAAAATTAACTATTTCTGAGAGAAGTGAAAGAACCAAATAAAAAATGATAGAAAAGAAATTTCTCTAATTAAACAAATACTATTTTGGTATGCAAAATAGTTTGTTTTACACACAGAAATGTTTGGCTGGTCATGCATTGGTAATTTACAATAAAGATAATTAAATGTTAGCACTTTACAAAAAAATTAGAAATAAATATTTTTGGCGGGATTATAACTGCTTATAGTACAAAAATCTATTAGCTGAAACTATAATGTAGAATAAACATATAATTTATAAACATAGTACATGCTCCATAGTAATGAGTGAAACAGCAAACAATAAACTTTAACATACCTTGCAAAAATTCCAAATTGTGATAAGTGTAAAAGTGCAATTAATACTGATACAATGCAAGATTCAGCCTGGTTCCAAATAGATCGTTTCACAAGCATTTTGTTAATACTTAGATGATAACTAATACTGTTGAGTATTACAGTTGGAATTATAGTAAATGCTGCAGCAAGGGCAAACCATAGCATATTACCATGTAAAAAAAGGTAATAGCACACTGCAATATCTGATGCAATATTGCAAACATAGAAAAGAAAGGAGATAAGAAGTCCTAAAAATCTTCCACATGTAATACTGTTAGGATCAACAAGATTTCCACAACAAGGAAATAATTTCCCAAAACAGCTATCTAAATCTGCATCATTGATTTCAACAGAAGGTTTGTCTTCCCAGTGCTGACCCGTAGCAGTTGGACTTGATTCTTCACTCAGAGGAGTAATGATGTCATCTGGTTCTATAGTTTCACTAGGACATATTTTAGTCACTAGCTTTATATCTGAAAATAAATGGGGTCTTTCAATGTGAGAGACATCTTTTTTTTGCACTTCTTCTGGTATATCTAAGGCATCTTGATGAACCAGAACTTTGATTCTTCCTGTTATTTCCTCTTGATCTTTTTCATTGAAATCTCTGCAGTCTTTCTGCAGAGAGGAGCCATTCTGCTTTACAGTATCCATTTTTTAAACCTGAAAAAAATGCATAATTCTGCTTCACATTTTTATATTGTAACATCAATTTAATTAATAAATAAAAAAAATATGATGATTTGTTTAAAATCAATATTTTTTTATAACACAACATGAGCACTTTTGATTTGTACTGGTTTAATTTGTATAAATTTTGAAACTGGGAAGCAAAGAGTAAAAAAATACAAACATATATATATGCAAGAAAAATAAAGAATATATAAAACATTAAATTAGCAGCGAAAATTAATTCACTTCAGTAGTTTAAAAATAGTAACCTCTATTTGTACTGCGTCATTTCCAGAAAAATCGAAGTCATATGACTCTTACATAATTCTGATGATATAAATGGAATTAAAACTCAAGCAGCCAATAATAATTTTATAGAAGTATTAACTATTCGATCAAATGCATTGGAATCCAAACTAACTTAGTCTGAATTAAGATTTCACCATCTTTGAGTGCTTTGGCCTAGCTGCACTGCTGTCTGTCTGCTGCTGCCTTCTTGCTGCAAAGTTATCAAAAATGTAAACCTCTTGTAATAGGCAAAATTAATGTGCCAACTTGATTGTGGCCATAACATGTATGTTGAAATAAAAGTTGAATTAAATGTACCTTAACTGCTAAATTTCTTACTCATTGTGAATCAGAGTTTTAGTAATCTATGACATCGAAATTCTCGCTGCTCATTACAGATTCAACCACCTATGTTCTACTACAGAATCTATTATATATATATATGTAAAATATAAAATCTCTATCTTTCAAATAATAAATTAAAAATACCCCTTTAATTCCTATCTTGATTCTAAAAATTATAACAAAATTTTTGGACTGTGTTATTTCTAGATTAATCTATGCCACAAAGCTTGCATAATGCTGATGACGTACTAATTGGGAGCCTAACCTCTGAGAACTTAACTCTAACCAAAACCTTCCTCTTTGTGATCTTTCATATTGGATAACTATGTATCAATTTTAACATCGAACATGAGCTGAGATCATCAATCAGGAGTGCCATTTATTCTGTATGTGTGAAAAAAATTCTTATAATGTACGCTCAGCGAAACAAATATGCCAAAATTTTTTTTTTTTTTTTAAATTTTTACATGCAGTGCTTGAAAACTCTACAATTCTGATTATGCAATTAAAGTGTCTTGATAATTACCGAATAAAAAACATGATTGATATAAATTACTTTAAAATTTAGATATGCTGCTTTGCTTATTATGTTTAACTGTTTTATGAAGTTGACTAAATCTTACGGTATTAGAGATTTGGATTTTAACCTTCCAGCACGCGCACTATGCACAAAGTTAACGATAAATTCGGTTTTTAACACACACTTTTCGCATATCACAGTTGGGACGTGAATGTCATTTCTATTCCTCTTTTCAATTTTCCCTACATCATGGAATGTGCCAGAAGGAAGTCATATGACACTTTTTGTTTTTTTACTGGGCTTTTGTGCTACATGGCAGCTTCTTTTTAAAAGTTATAACACGTGTGTGGCCGTGGGTGAAAATTGGGAAAATATTTTTTTTCTCAAATACTTTGTAATTTTTTATTATTAATTGACATGCATTATTTTAATTTGTATAAATTCGATTCTATAATTTTTATGTTGGTTTCCATAGTAAAAATATGTGCAACCAGCTGATTTTGCTAGCATTCTTCAAGAATTATCTGATGAAGAAAAAGAAGACAAGGAAACTTTTGGATGTGAGAATAATAGCAATCTGAGTGAGGAAAATATAGAGATAAATAATATTAGCAGTGAATCTGAACAATGACTTCCTGCTGGCACATTCCATGATGTATATTTCGGATGATGATAGTAATAATGATATAGAAAAAAGGAATGATTATGATATACAGCACAAAGTCTGTAATTCGGACGTCCATAATCCGGACCTCAAAGCTACAAACTTTATGCGCATGCGTAAATGCATAATGCGTTTACGCATGTGCATTTAATGTATAACAGATGGTATAAGCTAGGCTAAAATTATCTATGGCATTTCAGTTAATTTTGCAGATTGTGCTGTTTCTTAATCTTCTAATTAGATCCGGCTTATTATTTTTTGCAGACTGTTAGAACAATTTTATAAAAATTAAGCTTGAACTTTCGATTACGTCAAAAAGAGTTTCCAACTCTGGAGCTGCCAAAGGATATACAAAGCGAAAGCATGTTTTGATGTCCATTAAACAAAAAGTGGAATTGCTGCAAAAAATGGATAAAGTCCTGTCTGTTTCAAAATTATGAGAGAAGTATGGCATTGGAAAGTCCACTATATATGACACAAGAAAAGGGAACTTTTTGAATATTTTGTGGAAGCATCTTAAACAACTTACATTGAAAGAAATGTTTAATAAAGTAAACAAATAAATATTAAGCTTTTTTTTTTTTTTTTTTATAAATTTTGAAACCCTTTAGATCATAATTGTTCTTTATTTCATAAATTACAATTTCATATTTTTAATTGTATAATTTCTGCATGCCATCTTACCAGATTTAAATTGATGATCTGTAATCTGGAAAAACCCCTGATCCGGAATTGCTGAAGTCCCGATGAGTCCGGATTATGGACTTTGTACTGTATTCTATATTAGTAAGAATAAATCTCCTAAATGGCGAAAATAGGAGTATGCAAACTGCTTAAAGACGAATATTGGGAGGGTTACCTGGCTTAAAACACCATACCAAGGATATAAAGGATGAAATAGGAACATTTTTTAAAATAGTTGATATAAATACGCTTGATGAAATTTTGGAATATACAAATAAATATATAAGTTTACTAAAAGGCAAAATATTCAAGAGATAGAGACTGCATTATTACCTGAGAGGAAATGATGGCCTACTTTGAATTGTTATATATGATAGGAATAAAAAAAAGGACACCATGTAAATGCAAAAGAATTGTTCTCTAGTGATGGCACTGGAATTGACAAAACAAGAGCTGTGTTGAGCTACAAGAGATTTTTATTTCTGACAGGCTTTCTTTGATTTTGTGATAAATCAACAGGACAGGACAGATGAATATTAAAACTAGCTTGGAATTTAAAATATAATTATTAAATAATAAATTTTTAAATTCCTATAATGAAAAACATCATTGCTTCTTCACCTGACTAATTTGAACATTTAACTATAATTCACTATAATTTGAATGTGACATCATTTGTATTTTGCAATAATAAAATTAATATTTTATGTTTTAACAAATTTATTATCAATATTCACTCATTTCTGTCATTTTTTAAGCCAAAAACGGTAAAATAACAGATCTCGTAAAAAATACGACGCACAAGTGCTCATGTAAAATTGCCAAGCGAGCGTGCTGGAAAGTTAATAATTTGACATAATAAATTAAGTAAATATTTTAAAATTTTATTTAATGAAAGTCAGTAAATTTTAAAGTTTTTAATAATTATATTTTTGGCATTACTTTAAGGTTATTTTTGAAATATTTAAATTTTAAGAAATATGTTTCGAGTATAATATAGGAACTATAACAAATGTAATTTTCAGCATTATCGTAATGAATATTAAAAAACATTAATAATTTAACAACTGAATAATTGTAATGAAATTGAATATGTGTAATGTAATTAAAATGTGAAAATGGGTAAGGAAAAAATAATTTCAAGTTATGTTGGATGACTTATAATTATGTAATGAATAACTGAATGTATAGAGTATGTTGAGAGAGTGCTGGTTCCGAAACAAAGGCTAGTTATTACCTCTATACAGTTGTTCCTTATGCCCTCCTCATATAAGAAAATACAATTTTGGAAGGCCTTATAATTTTTTTCCTATAATAATAATAATTATTATTACTTTTTTTGGTACTTTTCAATTTCGTCAAGCACACTTTTATTGGCGACAACATAGAGTATACACATAAAAAGTGTTAACAAACGTTAGTTCTAATAATTTTTTATTTTGAAGGCATAAACATTTTAACATCATTTAAAACTTTGTAAAAAGCCTATAAATAAAGACAATAAATTTGTAAAAGGACATTAATTTAAGAATTTATTATGCTTTCATAATTCAACAAGCTGATTCGCCAGTTTATATCACGACTCCAAGTGACCTCATCTGATGTAAACTACGCAACAAAAATTTAATTCTCTCAGTAATTATCTACATTAATTTCAAGTTAAATCTTAATTTGGAATACAAGTTTAAATGCAAGAATTATTTCAATTCGTACGAATAGCTTATTCAGAAATTAAATAAAACCGCGCTGCTTTACTTCGCTATCACATCATTAGAATTTATGAATTTAACCTTGACATTGCCTTTTCTATATTTTCGCCTTTGAGTGAGCAGTGTGATTGGAATCTAATTGATTCAAGTACAACAAATGATCTTAGGGCTCAAAACTGTACTATTTGGTAAAAATTCTATGCAATTGTATGCCAGCATTGAAAGAATCAATCAATCTGATAAAAAATTAATGCGACTTGTTTTGAAAATGAAGCATAAAAGGTTATCAGTGAGGATATTCCGTTTGATATCAGTTGTACCATTGTTGGCGACTTTATCGGCTGCGCCAGCAAAACGGAAAAGTACCCTTTTTTTAATGCTGGGTGATTTAGTATTCATCATCAATATTTGGTGGGGAGGTAGGAAAAAGAAGGAGATTTCACATAGGAATGCATGGGTGCATATGCCATGTAGTAGGGCAAAATGACCCCAGTTCAATGATAGAAAGAACACATAAGAAGGAAGTAGTAAGGAAAAAACATTTATTATCTTACATGTAACATTTCTTTGCATCGATTTTACAGACTTACAAGAGGTGCTCAAACTGCTGACCATAAGCTAGAATGCATGACTCACAACGGCGTTACATGGACAACCGGACCTTCTGGATATGCCTGCCATACATGCATATTTGCAAGTTCATTTTCCATATACTGGTTCATGGTACTTCTGCCTAGTCAAATGATGACTGGCTGTGCTTATGTATGGAAGCTGTGTACACACAGTACCCTCTACACCACCAAGTGTTCGTCTGCTTCCATACGTTCCTACCCCCTACCTCTCCACCAAATATTGATGATGAATTATGAATCACCCTGTATAATGGAGTGCAGTTAAATTTTTTTATATAAACATAATGTATAGTGTAGTTCAAAAAGGCCAGTTGCCTTTCAGCAAGGAACGTAGGACTGTAGAAGCAGACCAGCCCTTAACCACTGATGAAATATATCAGTCAGTACACATGGATTTGCCCAACAGATTGAAATGTTTGTTTTAGTGTAAGCTGAGGGGTCTCCTAGTTTTGTGTAAAATTATGTAACAATAAAAGTAAAAACCATAATTTTAGTAATATTATTATAAAATTTATAATGCTAAAATATAAGTTTTAATAATGAAAATTAGTTATGTTTTACAAATTTTGAAATTTTTTGCGATTATTCAAAATAAATTTGTGTGTGTGAAAAATTTTTACAACAGTAATATTGTGTGCAAAGCTTTCCTTGAAAAAAAATCTAATTATGCGGACTGTCAAACACAGAAAATTTTTCAGAGGCCTCTAAAATATTATCTAGGTTTATAATTTCAATTATTCAAACAATTATTTTGGCAAAGTTTTATTATTTGTACTTCTAAAATTATTTATCTTCACTTGTATAAATATCTCGCATCGATCTGGCTTAGCCCTTTTTGTTCCTGTTTCCATTGCTCTTTGGGTGCTGTTCCAGCTCGCATTAGGAGACGTTCTTGCAGTGCGTATCATCCAGTGTTAAGTGGCTCTTCAGTGCTGTGGTTCCGGCCATGTTTGTTTTCCTGGATTCTGCAAAGCAGCAACGTATTTCAAATTGTGGTTTCCGGTGAGCAACTGCTTTGGGTGGCATCTTTTCCAAGGTTAAGCAGTGATGTATTTCAAGTTGTGATTTCTGGTGAGCAACTGCTGTGGGTGGCATCATGAACACAAGTGCTTTCAAGGTTAAATGGCAATGTATTTCAAGTTGTGGTTTCCAGTGAGCAACTGCTGTGAGCGACATCATTAACACAAGTGTTTTCTAGGTTTAGCGGCGATGTTTTTTTTTTTTTTTTTCAAGCTGTGGTTTCCCATAAGCGGTGAGCAGCATCGATAAACTCAAGTATATTCAAGGTTTAATTTTTCAGGTGCCTTCTTGGCCAAAAGCATAGACCTATTTAGTCAAGTGAAATTCAAATTAATCGTGTAGTTTTTGTTCTGTGATATGTTTTACACGAGTTATTGAATGCCAGTATTCATAGAACAGGTAATATGCATAATACATAATTTTAGGGTGCTTCTACTGCCATAGTTATTTCTGCTAAATGTTTTCTATAACTTTAAACTTTGTTTTTGCATCATGCTGTAACTAAAATACACAACATCTGTACACAAAAGTGCCATGATTTTGCTATATCATAAGTCTTTCTGCGATTTAAAAGTAACGGTAAAAACTTCCTCCAAAGTTAACTTACTACACGAAAACCCTGATCCAAATCTTAACCTCTGCTGACAGCCACATACTTTACCAGCAACCATTTGACTGCAAACCCACACAAGCCTATCAGAAATGTACTTCTTTGTCCAAGTTCTCATATCAGCTCTGCATTTCGGACTCTTTTAAAAGTACCACAGAAATTCAAAAAATACACGTCAATCCGCATAAACACACCCATGAACAAAAGGCTCGTTAACAACTCCAACATCGTAGCATTTAATACTAATTTACTTTGCACACAATCTAAAATACGCGACTGAAATCTTGCCACCACGTCTATCATTGCAACACAGACCATTTCAAAACATGCACGACATGAACCACTGAGCAATTACACCACTGCAGCAAAAGAGTTAAGTTTCAACATTAAAAATGTTGCCATACAAACATCGTCCCCCAAACCACCCCACAGCATGCACTCGTGCCAAAAACCATTGAACACATATTGCCATATTTAGTGATCTTAGGGCATAGAGCCAGAAAAACTATACAAAAAAATCAAAATTGGTACGTGAAAATATCACAATAATTTACAAAATACTGAGAAAAATTATTTAAAAAAACACGGTCAATCAACTTCGTTCAAAGCTCCACACAGAACTTGTCAAGGGAAAAGTGCCTGAAGCCTTCAACCTAGCTGATTTTCCAGAATAAATTAAACAGGCACATTTCGTCGAACGGATCCACCGAGACTGAAAATGGCTTTCCTTGATTTAAATTTTATGAACATTTTCTCATTTATTACTAACAATGTCTCAATAAATTTGTTCCTTTTCCCGACCTTTGTGTTAGAAAACAGAAAAGTGAACTAAAAAATTACAAACATTTTTTAAAACAAGAAAAAGCCTGGTTAGGCAAATGTACGAACAAATTTTACAGTTTTAAACCTGCAAGTAATTAATAAACAACATGTCAAGGGAATGGCCCTTTATCATGAACAATAAAAACCTTATCCTAATGAAAAAAATCTAGACAATGAGGGGTCCTGTTAAGACCAAAAGGCTAAGTATTCACCAAGAAAATAATGAAAAAAAAAAGTACATACCTGCATCTGACACGGTTTCTTACCAAAATTAAACTGAGTAGAAACGTGGAAAAAGGTTGCAAGGAAGTAACGAAGGCCTTACGAGTGCTACCAGAATGAAAAATCAGTCAAATCTCACCTATTGCAGGAGTATGACTTGGAAGCACATTAACGTACTTTAGCAGCAGCCAATGGAATTGTTCAGCTTGTGGGGAAAAAATTCGGGCTTGAGAAGGGTCGAGGAAGGAGGCAACTCTTTCAAAATGGCATTGTTCTTAAGAAATTGTCAGTTATAACATAATACCATCCTAATTTATTACACACTTGTTCCTAATTTATTACACACACAAAATTTCTTGCCTATTTTTATGAATAAATAGCTTTAAAATAACAGCCAAACAATCCAAATTTAAATGAAAACTAAAATAAATAAAGAAATAAACGGTGGGGAGAAAATTTTTTTCCTACAAAATTAAATGCAGAGTTTCTACAATGCATACATCAAATATCGCATTTTCATACCTTTTTTCTATAATCATTTTTAGCGGATGTTTGTTTTATTCGACTTTTACTAATTTATTTATAACTACCATAGGCATTATGACTATTATTTGCACTATTTTTTTTTTTTTTTTTCATGTTGGAAATGAACAGGTACAGAATTCTACAAACAGGAACATGTACAAACTTACTACGTTTGGTATACACTAGAAACAATCTGAAAATTGGTTTTGTGGCTGAAAAACTCTATTTCAATGAATAAAAATTCCAAACTGAATTAACATATAAAAAACCAAATTGAACTAAGTATATGATTGTACTCGAAAATCTACTAACATTTAATTATTTATTGCAATCTACATTTCAAGAAGGACATTTAAAAACACGTGTAAGAAATATCATTTTAAAGATGTACAATATTTATAAATAACATCAGTCATAGAGTTTTAGAAAAAAGAAATTAAAGGAAAAATCTGTAATACCTGCAATGAATTTCTCGACATTGGAAGAATTTCTGCAAAGCACAGTAAAAATAAGTTACATGTTATTTGGTATGAATCATTATCATGATGACTAAACTCTTTATCCAATAGCTAACTACGCGAAAAAGCATTTCTTAAACTGATGATTCACGTTTCTACAACAGTGGGAAGGAAGTTTTGAAAGCTTCGGGCATCGCAACGACAAACTACTCAGTAAACAACTTACAAGTAACCGCGCGACGACGCCATAATCATATTGTTGCCAAAAAAAGTTAGCTTCTATACTAGACTCATACTGTTATGTGACTGGACTCCCAATATTTATATTTTTATAATTAGTTTTTTCCCATCTTCACATCTATTCAGCTTTACAAAACACACTTATTACACACACCTGGAAGACTCTATTTAATGTAGTTTTTTTTTTAAAGAAAATTCTCTTATTTCCTTTCTTTTCTTTCTATAAGCCCTTTTTTTTAAATTATTAATATATATTTCTTTTTCTCTCCATTACTTTTGGGCCGTTTATTTTTTATTTTATTTTGTACCATCTTTTCTTCATGGCCTTTCGAACACGTATAAAATATACTAAGTTCCTTTTTACTCTTCTCTGAAATAGGAAAAATTGCTCCTCCTTCTAAATACTTTTCCTTCGCAGTGGTTAATCGCACCGACGGTGCGAATAGCTAACAGGCTATTCACACCAGCTACGTTCGTGCATGCGCACAAGTAGTCCAGGTGCCAGCATTCTACGCCGATTTCCGTAAGACAGGCGGTAGTGAGTGTAATGTCGCTTCAGTTCCGTAAAGTTTCTAATTAAATTTAGTTAAAGCGGAATGGCAACACCTTCTAGTCTCCGAGAAGAACGAAGTAAACGAACTTCGGGTTTCTGTCACGCGATTGAACGTGCATGTAAAATGTAAATAAATCTTATGAATAAGAATCTATAACTTCGTAAGGAATAAAATATTGGTTCCATTGGAGTCAGAGAAGTGTTATTTTCCTGCATTTGCACACCAGACACTTCACTGGCGTATCCCGGCGTGATCGAATTCTACAATGGCTGACGAAGACGAAACCGAAATTAAAGCAACAACTGCATCTGTTGCCAAGGTAAGCGTTAACGTTCCTCCTTTTTGGAAGCAAGATCCTAAAATATGGTTTATTCAGCTAGAAGCACAATTTAGAAATGCAAAAATTAGTGCAGATCAAACAAAATATGATTATGTTATAAGTTCCATTGAACCCGATATTTTGTCACAGGTATCTGATATTTTGCTAAGTCCACCACAAGATAATAAATATGAGGCAATTAAAAATAGACTAATTTCATTATATGCTGATTCAGAGACTCAAAAAACCCAAAAATTACTGAGTGAGTTAGAACTGGGTGACAAAAAGCCATCTCAATTGCTATGTGAGATGCGTAATTTGGCTGGCGACACAGTAACAGATACTTTCCTAAAAACATTGTGGCTACAACGTTTACCCGTTAATATGCGTAGCATTATATCTTTTAATAGTGAAGATTTGTCAAAAGTGGCTACAATGGCCGATAAGATCTGGGAATTAAACCCTGTTACTCCCCAAATAGCTGCTGCATCATCCATAACGGTAAAAACGGAAGTGATTGAAAGTTTACAAAAACAGGTTAGTGAACTTAGCTTACAAGTTTCTGCTTTAAACAAGCAACGCCACAGTCGTCCCTATTGTCGTAACCGATCCAAATCATGAGATAGGAGTTACAGTGGTAACAAATCTAGTGATATTTGTTACTATCATAAAATATTCGGTGATAAGTCATTTAAGTGTAAATAAGCCTGCAACTACTCATCAACATCACAGACAAATAGTCCGGAAAACCAGCTCCCCGTCTCTCATTGACGACGGAGGGACAAGGGGTGCAGCTGAGTCGTTGAGTCGTCTTTTCATCAGCGACAAAGAATCGGCTACCCAATTTTTAATAGATACTGGGGCAGAAATTTCTGTCCTTCCTCCCTTGCCTGCAAATAAAAAAAAAATCTCAAAATTAGAACTCTTTGCTGCGAATGGTACGAAAATTAAAACATATGGCCAAAAGTTACTCAAGCTTGATCTTGGACTCAGACGATCATTCACATGGCCTTTTGTAATTGCGGACGTAAACAAACCGATAATAGACATGGATTTTCTTGCAAATTTTAACCTTTTGGTCGAGTCTAAAAATCGCAAGTTAATTGTTGGTACTACATTCTTAACAACCAATGGAACTCCTTGTTTTCAAAATAACAATAATAATATTCCTATTTTAAATGCCGTAAATGATCCATATAAACGTATAATTAACGATTTTCTGGTTTTGTTAAAGTGAATGTAGTTAATAATAAAGTTAAAAATCATAACATCGAACATTATATCGAAACCAGAGGTCCACCAGTTTTTGCTAAAGCGAGGAGACTGTCAGCTGAGAAACTTAAAGCGGCTAAAAAGGAGTTTGAATTTATGCTCCAAATGGGTTTATGCAGACCCATCCAAAAGTAACTGGTCGAGCCCACTACATCTCGCTATGAAGAAAAAATCAGGTGATTGGAGACCTTGTGGAGACTATCGAGCGTTAAACAACGTCACGATTCCTGATAGATAACCTCTCCCATTTTTAACAGATTGCAGTTCCATTTTAGCTGGAAAAAAAAAAAAGAGTTTTTCATCCATCCATAGACCTCATTAGAGCGTACCAACAAACTTCCAATTCCCGAAGAAGATATACCGAAAACGGCCTTTCTCACTCCCTTTGGCTTATTCGAGTTCCCATTCATGACGTTCGGCCTACGAAAATGCGGCCAAACGTTCCAACGTTTCATGAACAGTGTGTTGAATGGACTAGAATTCGTGTGTTTTGCTATTTGGATGACATTCTAATAGCCCCCCAGATGAAGAAGAAAAAAAACTCACCGAAAACATCTACGAGCTGTCCTCGAGAGACTAAACGAATATGGCCTGTGTATTAATTAAATGCGGCAAAGTGTAAAATTTGGTCAACAAAACTTGCATTCCTGGGATACGAGTGTCAGCAGAAGGACTTAAACCTCTTTCAACGAAAGTTGATGATGCCATCAAAAATTTCCTAGAACCAAAGTCATTTACTAGTTTAAGACGATTTTTAGGTATGGTGAATTTTTATCACAGATTCATACCAAATTGTGCGAAACTGCAACAACCTTTAACAACATTGCTCAGTGGTATTAAAAAGAACTGCAGAAAAAAAGAAATAACCTGGAAGGCAGAAACAAGAAAACGCCTTCCAGATCTTAAAAGATGCACTTATTCATGCCACAAATTTAACTCACCCATCCGAAAAGGCTGAAATATCGCTAACAACTGATGCTTCCGATACTGCCATTGGAGCCGTTTTTACATCAGATTGTGAATAATGAAAAAACAACCCTTAAGTTTCTTTTCCCGAAATTTGACATCAGCACAACAAAAATATAGTGCTACGACAGAGAACTCAGCCATCCATACAGCAGTTAGAAAAACATTTCAAATACATCTTAGAAGGGCGAACTTTTGCAATATACACGGATAACAAAACTACTAAACATTTGCCTTCCAACAAAATTTGGAAAAAAAGCTTCGCCACGACAAGCTAGACAACTGTCATATATTGGCCAGTTCTCAACGATATTCCGATTCATACAAGGGCATGAAAACACCGTCGCTGACGCTCTCTCTCGCATAGACACCATTTCTGTACCATCTGCAATAGACTTAAAAACTATAGTAGACTGTCAAGAAGATGACGACTTGGAGATACTAAAAAACAACCCAAACTTAAAAATCCTACAGATCCCTATACTGGACAGCGACAAGAAAATTTACTGTGATACTTCTACAGATTATAATCGACCATACATCGCTGCAAAGTTTCGGCAGAAAATATTTTCTTCAATCCATAATTTATCTCATCCTGGAATAAGATCCACGATAAAATTGATAACACGACGTTTCATATGGCCCAATATGAATAAAAACTGCCAACTATGGACTAGAGCATGTTTATCTTGCCAAAGATCTAAAGTTCACAGACATACACATTCATCTTTGGGAGAATTCAAAGTACCTCCACACAGATTCCAGCATTTAAACATAGATCTGGGGGTCCGCTACCTCCTTGCAAAGGATTCAAATACCTTCTAACCATCATCGATCGTTATACACGATGGATCGAAGCGGTACCGTTTAGAAGATCAATCAGCAGAATCTATTGCTAAAGCTTTGATTTATACTTGGTTTTCACGCTTGGAATTCCGAATCGCATAACATCTGACCAAGGTCGGCAGTTGATAGCCAACTTTTTCAAGCTTTAGGAAAATATCTTGGCTTTTCATACAAAACTAAAACTGCGTACCATCCACAGCAAATGCCTGATCGAAAGACAACACCGAACTTTAAAAGCAAGTCTCAAATGTCATCTACTCGAATCAAAATCATGGCTGGAAGCATTGCCTTTCGTTCTTTTAGGCATATAATCGATCTGCCATCAAGGAAGACTTAGGTGCTCATCCGCAGAACTTGTATACGGAACTCCTTTAGCATTACCTGGTGAATTTTTCAACAGTACCTCATATGAAACAGTCTGAATTTTCTCAAAACCTTCAGAAATAATAAGAGCTATGAAGCCAAGTTCTACCACCACCCATGGAAATAGAACAGTCTTTGTTTCTAAAAATCTTTTCCAACTGTTCTCACGTATCTATACACAACAACATTAATAATTCGTCGCTATAGCCTGTCTATCTTGGACCGTATCCTGTAAGAGCAAGAAAGGATATAAGTACTTCGATATTGAAATCCAAGGATAAAAGAGTTTCAATAGACAGACTAAAGCCATGTTTCCTAGTGCGAGATTCTGATATTCCTTTCCAAAACTCCCATTCCAAGAAAGCGGAACTTGGGGAAACACCTGCACTCAAGAAAACTAAAGAAAATTCAGAAACTCATCATGAAACCAAGACTACTAGAACCGGCAGACATGTGAAGTTCCCCAGTCACTTTAAAAATTATCTTCCATAATCGCTGTCACTAGGAAGGGGGTGTGTAGTGTCGCTTCAGTTTCGTAAAGTTTCTAATTAAATTTAGTTAAAGAGGAATGGCAACACCTTCTAGTCTCCGCGAACAACGAAATAAACAAACTTCGGGTTTCTATCACGCGATTGAACGTGCATGTAAAATGTAAATAAATCTTA